TGAGTTTCATATAAGTTAACCTGTTTAAGTTACTCTTTTTTTTTTTTTTCTTTTCTTTTTCTTCTCAACACTCAGATTGGTGTGAACTTGCCAGTCCCTTACTTATTTGAAAATACTAATACAATATACAACCGTAGTGGTTGAGAATGTTAATTTGGGTTTAGTGTGCTAAAAGAGTGCTTACATACTGCTTAGAGGAATGAAAAAGGAGAAATAAGCCACTTTATTTATAATACGGAATTTTAACCTGTTAGTTACTCATCTTTAGAATCTGATGCAATCTTACAGTAAAGCAATTTGAATTATTATTTTAATGCACTTAATAGAGCAATGAATGGAGGTGAAGATCAAAAAAACAATTTTCAAAATATTTATATTCTAAGTGTTTTCAGGTTAAAAATAATTAAAAGAAATATTCTAATATGCATTTGCATTCAATTTGTTTTATATTTATTTAATTACGAAAAAAAAAACATAAATAAACGGAATATATTGTAAAAAGGTGATAAAAAAGGGGAAGTAACTCATTTTTTTTTTTTGGCAAACATTTTTGAAATAGACAAATTGTTTTTGACATAAAGCAAAGATAATTGGTGTTTAATTTACGATGTGTTTGACACCAAAGCTGTCAGGTGAAGCCATGCACTTAATGGGTCACTTAATTTTACAGTTTACACAGCTAGCTGAACTTCCTGTTCATGGAAGAATTACGAATTTCAGTTTGACCGTATTTCAAAGTAAGAAAAATGCCGAGATTTTCGCGATATAAACGACAGGGAACCCGAGAAACGCCAACGGCTGTTTTGCCAGACAAGCTGGGGCGTTTCTGATTTTCTCCCAAGTTCACATAAGTGCGTTTCTATTAATTATCAGATCAATGATCGACATCGTGAAACATTGGTTTCTCAACTTGTGTAAAATGTAAACAAATCATGACCACGTGTTTTTTGTAATTGTACTGAACAGTTCGACCCTAGAAAATACCGTTCTAGATAATGCGGCCAATAGTTCATCCGCATGCACTCTGTGCCGATTAAATTAACGTTGTTTTTTTCTTTTATTTAAAACTGGCCAGTTGTAATATTTTTATGCGACACCCTTGATCTATTTTCATAATACCGGTACGGGAACGGATCAACTTCTGGTCGATATAATATGGGGCGAGATTGTCACTTCGACGTTAGCGCACTTGAGAAACACGTCATCAAAATGTGATTACGCTGATATGGAGATCAAACTTGAAAATCCGATGCTGGAAAATCCGATGCAGATGTTTTCAGATAAGTGCATTAGAAATTTAATTCAACATGTGTATATTATGATTATAAATTATAATTCATTGAAGAACTATGATTTTTTTATTGTTTTTATTTGAGCAAATCAACATCAGAAAGTCTGAAATCATAAACTGAAAATTATATTTATTTTTAACATGAGTTTTTGACAATGAATAATCTTGTTGTCACATAACAGGCATAACTGGTAGACATGTAAAAAAATATTGAGTTGTGTGAATGGTTATTTGGTGAAAATAATAAGTCGCCGGTTTTTAATCTTCAGGGGATAAAAAAGGGGGAGGGTAATTAATTTGATTCCAAATGGCTTCCAATGTACTGTATAAACATGCAATAATATTTCTATTGAATTTATTGCTTCAAATCGTCTTGAACAATTGATTCTTTGTGGATTTTTTTTTTACTTTTAGGGGATTTAATGATATTAAAATGGAGCTGCCAATTTTGATAGTAAACAGATTGCATGCAGATTCCAGTTACCTTTTAATACTCAGCAATACTAGTTGGAAGTACAGAGACAGCAAATTTAATTACAGAAAGGAGAAGAACTTAACATGTATCCTTTATATCTGATTTTCATTAAGCCTAAATTAATATATTGTTTGTTTCCCCAATCCGACACAGCCAAGCCAGGTGTGGGTAGGTAGGTAGGGAAATAATTTTATTTTTTCCAAAAAGCTGGAACAATATTGGTCGATCTGGCAAGCCTGAAAGTTGGAACTGAATAAAATAATATTTGACTTAGTTTTGACAAAAAAAATTTATGAGTCGGACCCGTTTTTGCAGGGTCGGTAGGGATTGGGGAAACAGACAATATTTTATTTTAGGCCTAATATAATATTTGAAACTGAACAGCGAGCATCGTTAAGCCATGGTGAACAATGTGTATCTAAATACAATTATTGAATTAAGACAATGAAATGCTTAAGGGTATTAGTGAACATGAGGAGGAGGTGGTGGGGTTTGGAACCCTTTTGATAATTTTGGTAATTTAACTATCTAAGCAGCCATTAAAAATGGCCAACAAGTTTGCTAGTAGTAAGTACTAGTATCTAATTTTGATGGGAGTTTAAGGATCTGACATTAAAATAAATACAAGTCAATTTTTTTTAATGGGAACTTGACAGCCATTTAAATAAATTATTAAACACAGTTATCGGGAAGGATGTCCGCCTTGCACCAATTGCCCTTTTCGACCAGAAATGGTGCATAGAGTGACAAATGTAAGCGCCCACGTGGCGCACGATATTTTCCACTCCATTATGAAACATTTGATAACGTAAAATGGATTTCCGATTGTGTTTCGTGTTGCCATGTGTATGTACAAATCTGTGTAGTGTTATCGCCAATGATAGGAGCACTGCCTATATATATTTTTGGGAGGTCTCGGGTGTAAACATATTTTGGATTATATCTTTTGGTAAGTACAATGTATTAGAATTTCCACAATTTTGAATATATGTGCATGCTCTTTTAGTTCAAAGTAGTGACATTTAAAGTGTTTTATTAACTTTTAAGAGTCAAGAAAAAAAGAAGGTCATAGATTTATAAAAAGTATTAATAAAGAAGATGTGGTATGCTTGCCAATGAGACAACTCTCCACAAGAGACCAAATGACACAAAAAATATGCATATACATATCATAAAATTGTGTAGGACATGAGTCATATTTTGTATCATTTTAAAACATTATTTGTTTTATAAAATAGTACTTCTGAAAAAGTAATTTTGCTATAAAATTAGAGATCTGTGGTGTGACTGACAATATGACATTTATATATCCACAAATGGTAAAATAATATATCTTTATATATACATGTATAGTATATACACTACCCACCAAAAGTATGATATAAAACATGGGCAAGACCCATTATGTTATAGTACAATGATTATGAAAAACAAATATTAAACAAAAAAGAAAGGACAACCTCTTTATTTCTAGGGACAGTCACTTATTATAATGATGATAATTTAGTACTGACATGAGGTTTAATGTATTGTACAGTTATATATCAGCTGCTGAACCAGGGTGGTGGTGGTGGCAATTAAGTCAACATTAGGAGTAAGACTTATAAAACTTCTATTTAATAAGTTATGTAGCTCTAAAGCTGAGAAAGGGGGAGCCCACTTTCCTAAATCCACCTCTGAATATTAAATTTCTAGAAGGATTTGACACTCTTAGAAATTGACCCTGCAAGTGACACATTAATACAAATCTTTTCAAAAAGTGTTATTTTCATTTGATAATTTCAGAATTGACAACAAATGTAACTAACTAACTTTATATCTGTACAATGTTAACTTATTCTTTTATATGCTAGATTCTTTTACTTTTATTTTGCAGAATTTGCCATCAACTAATTCAACTTTAAGGACAGCGAGTTCAATGGGACACTGAACGAAAAGATACACACATGTAACAGGACTACCTATAGACGACAGAGAACAAATATTGTTTTATTAAATCACAGAAAATGCCATAAATGGAAAGATTTTCTAAAGACATTCTCCTTACTCATCCATCAAATTCCATCTGATGGTCAATTCTCCATCAAGTTTCCATGCATTTTACATGTAATGGAAATATTCCATTGGTTTTCCATCTGATAGCAAAATTACCATCAGTTTTCCATCAGATGGCAAAAATACCATCAATTATCCATCAGATGGCAAAAATACCATCAGATGGAAATTATGCCATCAATTTTCCATCATCATGAACACAAATTCCATCAAACCTTTTCCATCAACCATTTTCCAGCATTGATGGAAAGTTGTTCCAATACTCCATCAACATGATGGAATGTGATGGCATTTTTTCCATCACAAAATTCCATCATGTTTGATGGAAAATCTAGGGAAGGGTCGTATTGAAGTATTGGCATGTGATTGCATTGTTTTATCAGTATCTATATTTTCTTGTTAATGTTACCTATAGGCAGATGAAATCTTTTGATTATTTTGGATTCAGCTGTGAATTGCCACCGTAAATAAGTTGCCATAGAAATATTATCACCTTTTTAAGAGTCAACCTCTCCTTTGTTTTATTAGATATTTTAAATCAATATTCACAGTGATAATTGAAGGACTATAATAAAGTGAAATAATATCATAATTTTAGGAACGTTCATTTTTGTTGGTATGTACCTGTGTAAGAGCTGATTACTTATGTAATATCATTCATTTCTAAATTGGTTCACTTATATATATAAATAGGGCATAAACCATTTCCTAATATTTATGATTTTTGAAATCCCTTTATTGCTTATACTTGTAATCATGATATGTACATATGAGATTTTTCAATCATCAATTAATATGAGCTATATTTGTATTTTTGATAAACAAAAATTAAGCTTAAATGTTTGACTGAATTATACATTTATTATGAGAATTTTCCCCTCAAAGAACTGACTATTAATAAATCTAGTATGAACAGCAATAATTGTCCTTTTGTAGATTTGAATATTTCACTGAATTTTTACTTATTTCATGGGCAATGGGACGGGTGCTACATGTGGAGCAAGATCTGCTTACACTTCTGTAGCACCTGAGTTCATCTTCGATTTTGATTGGGTTTGTGTTGCTCAGTCTTTAGTTTTAAATTATATGTTAAATTAAGATTTAGACCTATAGCGCAAGGCAATGGTGTCCAGTGCACACAAATGTTCTTGTTGCTGTATATATCTTTTTATATTTCAGGAGAGAAACAAACAGGGAGGAAGACTTCAGACAATTTCAAATTTCTTTCAAAACTTAGGATCTAATAAGAAAGGAAAAAATAAAACTGATAAACCATACAACTCTGCTCGATCTCAACCTAGTTCATCTATGTCTGAAGATAGCAGTTCAGAGTTACCTCCTATAACAAATGGACAGATGATTAACCAGAAAAGATCCCCAAACTTTCAACTTTCTTTGACATCGAAAAGCAGAGAATCGTTAAGTCCAAGGTCATTAAGATCAGACAAGGCAACATTGAGTCCACAGAACAGACATATTTATCCTGTCAGAACAAAAAATATTGACCAATTCTTGTAAGTTATTTAAAAAAATTTTATAGCTGTTTCTTTGTACCATTACGGTCGCTTTGAACAAGAATCTGGATTTTTTCGTAGCCAGGGTTCTCACTAAGATGAGTCCATGAGTCCTAGAATCATGAAAATCTGTCTGGGGTCTCTGAATTAATCATATTCTGAACTTGCTGTTCAAAATGCCCTTTTCAGGATTGGCATTCTGCCCTTTTGAAATCCTAGCTGGAACACTGTCTGTTGAGTCCAAAGATGCATTCAGATTAGACAATGTTGTACAATGTATGAGCTGTGCCAATAGTTATCAGCATACAATGGAGTTTTATTTTTTGGTCTTTTTTGTCATGGAGACTTTAATAATAAATCAAGGCAAAGATAAATGTTTTTTTTTTTTTCCCACTGTCATAACTGTTTGACTAGCAATAGCCAAAAATGGTGAGTCCCTGGATTCCCCTTCACAAAATTCCTTAGTGAGAACTGCACATGAGAACCCTGAAAACAGTGTTCTTTTTCTATTAAGTGCATATCTTGATAACTGAATGACACAACTATTACACACGAAGTCTTGAAGAATTTATACCTATTTTCTTATACCACCAAAGTTAATTAGTATCTTTGTAAAGGTAAGATTTCTGGTGGCAGAGAGTGGTATCTGTACATGTACTGTCTGTGAGTGCCTTGTGTCAGTCAGTCACTCAGTTTGTACTTTAGTAACTTCAACCTTGTTTATACAGAACAGACCAAATGCCTTGATTGCTCTTTTAAACTTCTTATACATATATACATTTTCAACGAAAAAGATTATTATAGTTTGAAACAATACATTGCCAGTGTGATTCCAGAATAAATTGGTTCAAGCGAACCTCTTCAAACTTTCTCTTTTGAATCATATTTTTTCATCCTGGACTTTTAAGACTTGCTATTATGTATGGGTTTTGCTCATTGTTGAAGGTAGTACAGTCACCAATAATTTTTCAAATTTTTTACCTTTGGTATTATACTGCATGTCCATATTTTTATATTTGTGTACAAATATATACTGTGATGTTACACTATTGTTTCAGAAAAAGGGTGAAGGTTTGGTACCATTTAAACGGTTAAACCCGCTGCATTTGTTTTCACCTGTCCTAAGTCAGGAATCTGATGTTCAGTAGTTGTCGTTTGTTGATGTGGTTCATAAGTGTTTCTCGTTTCTCGTTTTTTATATAGATTAGACCGTTGGTTTTCCTGTTTGAATGGTTTTACACTAGTTATTTTTGGGGCCCTTTATAGCTTACTGTTCGGTGTGAGCCAAGGCTCCGTGTTGAAGACCGTACTGTGACCTATAACGGTTTACTTTTATACTCATACGTTCCATGTTCAAGAGTCACGGGTATGAATTCTTCTCAATGCAATAAAGTCTCATCACATGAAGGAAGTCTTCTGCAGTAGTAGTGAAATAGTGAGTACTGTCCTTCCTGAAAATAACAATTCAAATTTTGAATGTAATTATTAAATACAGTCCAATTTAAAGTAATTTACTCCCATATACATGTATTTACTTCTGTATCAAAAGTATTATGCATTGATTTTAGGGATGACATAAAAAATGCCAAAGAAAAGGACAACTGGAAGATTGTTCAAGATTTTTATTCCACAACGTTTGATTCATTCATGGAGATTAATGCAGTTTTCAAGGTACGGTAAAATTAATCTTAAGAATAATTTCTTAAAGATATAAGATGTACAAAAATGAACAACAGAAGATGTGGGTATATTGCAATGAAAAAGCAACCCAACAACCCAACAAAACAAAGATGTGTTAGATCATGAGTTTTAAGTTGGCAATATACTGGTCAATATTAACACAAACCTGATGAGATTTAAAACAAAAAAATATCAAGGATAATCATCTGAATTTCAAAATTTTAAGTTTTTAAAATTTTTAACCCTGCAGTGACAAAAGCCCAACGTTAAAGAATATCAAAGAAGTATTTATTATACCCTAGATCTAAAGGAGGATGATTATTCTTGTTTGCGTCTGTCCTTGTTTCCGCTAGTCTCTCTGTCCCATAACATTTTGGGCACATTTTTTTCAGGTCACAGTTCAACTTGTCGTCTAATAGTTTACAGTGTTGACTGTTGAGGACCCTCATGGGTATTAAAAGTTATTGAACACCCCCATATATTAAATATTGCTTAAAATAAAATAATATTATATCAAATTAAGTTATGGGGATTTCATGCAAAACATGATAGGTACATTTTGAACAGTTAAGAGGCTCACTTAATTCACTAATTTATACACATTTAAGCTCATTAATACACAGGATTATAGTAAACTGGGCACATTAAACAGACTGATTTCATTAACTTTATTGTATGACTAATTGATTGACTGTATAAGAATAAAATAACCAGTGATGTGATGGAAAGTATATCCTTAATCAATGAAGAGGTCAATGACTGGAATTCTCAACATATTCAAGGTCAAAACAAATAACAATGATTCAAGATAACAAAGACATATTTGATACTGTTTTGTTAACTTTGAAGGTCTGAATCATCTTATTTCATCTCAACATGAGAAATATTATATGTATTATAATGAAAAAAAGTTTAATCATAGGAAATTTGAGCACTAAGTGTATTGCACAACAGCAAGAAATCTTTAATTGAATATAAATTCAATTCATATAACCAATTTCAAGTTCTTTGACTACATTTATTCAGAAACCTATAATATGTCAAATATTTAATACAATCCAAATTCAGACCTGTATCAAGCTTGAATATTGTGTCCATTTTTGCCCCAACTGTTCAGGGTTGGACCTCTGCGGCATATCCAGCTGCACTCAGCGAAGCAGTTTATTATTATTGCAAACCTGGTACTGTCACATTTTTTGCATTATTAAAAACATTGCAATAGTTTCTGAATTTACAGTAGTTGATACAAATGATTTACACTACTTGGAAGTGAAGCATATCACAAGTTAACTCTCATAAAATGATTATCAAAGAAAATCATGAAAATATAAGCACACATAAAAGTACAGTTTACATTATATTGTTTAGTTTTCCACAAAAAGGTTCAATAAAGACATGTATTTTTTTACAGAGAGATCCAGGAAAAGAGTACAAATCAACAGAAGACCCTGGACTAAAAATGGATTTTGTACAAATTGTATTTGACAATCTGCTAGATACAGTAAGTTCACTGTGACATTTTTCTTGCCTACAAATCTAATTTTGGAAAGAAAAGCTTATTGGGTAGGAACACAACATATTGTGGGGAAGGCAGAAGGATTGTGAAAAAAACCTGACCTTTTAAGAAGCAAAGATTAACTGTTCAAAGGCAGTTTGGGAATGAATATTTTAAATCACAACGTGTTGTAATATTTGTGTTCAGGTCAATTTCCTAGAAGTAATGGTAATATCTCAATGATATTTCACCACTGCATTTCTCTAGTTTGCACAGTATAAAACTTTTGAGCCATATTTGCATGGGTTCCTATAACCATCAGGTTTTATATTCTATATTCTTCAATTTTTAAGCCATTTTTCTCTATTCTTTATATTTATAAGCACCCCATTATTCTCTATTTTTGAAGACATATCATGATACTAATTATGTGTTTTTATGACTTGCAGAAATTTTATACACCATTTTAATCGTCTACTGCCAACTTTAAACATGTTATTTGCCCTTAAATTAAGACAATATTGGTCCAACAGCTACTTTATTTTAAATATACACTTGCATATAGTTCCTTTGGTGATCAAAAAGTATTATGATTGTATTTTATTAGTATCTTTAATAATGCTCGTACAAGTAATTGAATAATATTTGGAACAAGATGTGTATTATTATCAAAGTTGATTCCCACACTTTTTTGAAATGCTATTATTCCAATTCTTTCCATAGGGTAGTAAGAGTACTGATACAGAATGATAGTCAACTGTTGTTATTAAGAAACAATTTCACACAAAGGTGGGAGTGTGAATGGGAATCACATCTACTTTAATTCCAATCTTGATTGACCACAGCTAATATCTCTTGTGTTACATAATTGAATAAACACTTTATTAAACAACTCAATTTATATCTTAGTCATGTTAATACACAATTTATTGTCAATTATTGACCTCAATAGTATACCTATTATCACTTTTCATCTACACTACATAAAATTATTCTGTAAATTTTGTCTCAAATATGAATGATTAAGAATTAAAAAGATGCGTTTTTTTGCAAAGAAAAGACAAAAAACATCGTATGTATAAATGCAAGTAGGGTTTTTACTTGTAAAATCAGTGTTATAATCATCTGATATTAAGTCAATAATAACGGTTAATTTAAGGTACAATAATTATAATTAATTTGCTGGAAACACGAGACAAATATGCATCACTCTAAATTTATGACATGCGCATTTTCTACAATCAAATTTATTTGTTTATTCCCCATTATATAGCTATTTAACAGTGTACAGTATTTGTACATTTATTTGAATACAGGATATTTTTTTCTCAATGAAGAATGAACACCAATGTAAATAAAAATCATTTATTTTTTATTTTTTTTGTTGAGAAAGTGCATTTTCAATGCCTCTTTCTGGAAATTATTAGGACAAACTTCAATAAAAAATATACTACACCTTTCTTTGAAGATTTCTATTTCCAATGATGTCAAAATTATTTAATTGAAAAAAGAAGATATTAAAGATCAGTACCCCTTCTAAAAATTGAAATATCAAAAGAATTGTTATCAATATTGAGAAATTCTCCATCTTTGGGTAATTGAATGCATTTTTTTTAGTAATATCATGTAAATGAAATAAAACTGTTCATCTTTAGTGTCATATGATTTTAATCAAAATCAATAAATGATTCTAAGATGAGATAGGAAAATTGCATACCAATTTTAAACATAGAAATACTCCCAAAAGCAAACATTTACAAGTAAATTTAGGGAGACCAACTTGTTTTATCAACTGAAAAAAAAAGCAATTATCTTTCTGAATTTAATGCAAGAGTAATATATCAAGATTTTTTTCACCACAATATTTGAGAATGTGATTCAAAATTATGGCATAATGCACACAACTCTTTCAGTCTTTCCATGAGTGATCTCGATTACTTTGATTCTCACAAGTACATTTGTACCTTAGAAGAAGAACATTTTATTCTGAGAATTTCATGAGCTGACAGGGGTTATTTTTAAAGGAAAAATAACACTGGTAATTTTTTAGTGAAATAATAATGAAAATGATGACATGTTCTACATTTCAATCATTGTGTTGTCTGTTTTCTTCAGCCCCTTGCTTACTTCTTTGTTAAAATTGTTTAAACACAAGTTAAAACATTTTGGGCTTGAAAATGAGATAAAAAAAAATGTTTGACTAACTGTAGCTAAAAATGGCTGGATAACAGTATGGACGATGCTTTGATATGTTATAATTATTAGTCAGATTCTAGCTGTTCTTGTAAGGATAATCTCATCTAAGAGGAAAGAATATATTTTTTGATTGTTAGGCTCTTATTTAACTAAAGGTAACTCTTATAATACCTTACTATTTTGCATGAAACATAGTTGTTTTGAAAGTTAGATGGAATTATTGATTTTAGGATAATCTGTTGTTTGATTTGGACTAAGTGTTTCATAACATTCAAGTTTAAAAAGATATTTCATTCTTTTTTGATGAATAATTCTAATTAATCAATATACTTTTCCCAAGAGATTTGACATATTAAGTGGAAACTGAAGGTAAAAAGCATAGTGTGAAAGAAATAACTTTTTAGTAGTCACACATAACAAAGGAACAAAATATTGTACATTTATCCTTTTGTCACAAATAGATTATAAGAAGAAGAATATATATTGAATCCAATTAAAGGGCCTATTTCCGAGCATATACATATATATATAGTATTAATCATACAGTAATTTTTAAGATATATTACATTAAAAATAAATGATTAAATAACTATACTCCATACCAGATGATGTTTGAAAATAAATACAATAGAATATTAACCCTCTCTAATACATAAAAATAAATAAACTACTGTAACATCACTACTACATGTATATTAAGTTAGTTACCGGAATGCAAATTTTCTCTTATTTCAAAACAAAGATGTTTTTAAATTTAAAGTAATTACGCAATTTTCCTTTTTTAACATTTGCGTGTCATAAAACCAAAGAAAACTGGTAATTTAAAATAAATGGAATAATTATGAAATAAGACATGGAAAATATGTCAAAAAGACAGCAACTCAACAATATGACATAATATTGTCCTTAAATCTGTAGGCCACATGTTTCTATGTAGGAAGGTTTGCTTCCTTGTGGCTTCCTTTCTACTAGACAAAAATAAGAGAATATGGGAGTACTTAAAAAAAAAAACAGTTTAGCCCTGCTCTATGAAAATGTACATGTCCCAACTAAGCTCATGACCCTCTGCAGAGGTAGTCATTGTGTATATCTTAGTATATTTTGTGTAGATGTCATGTCATAGATAGTTACTGTTGACATTCAGTCTCAAATTGTGTGGACAATTGTTGATTTAGAGCTTGTTATATGGTATGGATACTTGTCTATCATTGAACATGGTGTTTTTTTTTTATTTTATGGTATTGTTGAGTTGCTGTCTTGTTGACATATTTTCCACGTCTTATTTCATAATAATTCCATTTATTTTAAATTACCAGTTTTCTTTGGTTTTACCCAGCTGGAGCTTGAAAGCTTGACCTTCTACATGTCCTACTTTAGAAACAAGCATGCTGCCATGAGAAACGGAAAGTAGGAAAAAAGTTACATTAATGAGAACAATAAAATAAGTTTATTAGGTCAAGTATTTGTATAGTAAGATTTGTTATATCAAATATTTTAAATGTGTTTGTGTGTTTTTTTTAAAGATTTTCAAAAGGATTAGATTAAAATGTTTAAAAGTGTTCAATAGTATTTTATTTCATTTCTATGTTTTTAAAAGTTATATGCAACTTTTATTAATTGGCAAATAAAAACAACTATATCATTTATTTAAATTCTTTTACAGTGTTTTAATCTGTCCAGACATTAGACAATTGACAGCTATAGTTTGATAACCATTTGTTTAATTAATTTAAAACCTTGATATTTACGGGCACCTTACCTTTGAGCGAATTTGTCCTACTTTTGCGCGAAAAATTTCCATGTTTGCGTGACAAAACCCATTATTATTGTGCAAAATTTACCAGTTCAAAAGTTACTACGTTTTTGCTCATGTTAATTAAATTTTCGAACTTTAAAATAATTATAACATCATAGAATGATATATAATTCTAAAATATAATGATCTAACTAAAAAACAAAATACTGCAGATAACAAAAATTAAAATCAATTCTAACAAAGGGAAAAGTCCTTGATATTTGATGGATATTCTAACAGTGTAGATATAGAGTTGAAAATTGAAAATGGAGACATTTCCTGGAGATGAACCAAGGAAATATGCAAATTGAATGTAATTGAGAAAAACAACAAATTAAACTGATTCTGGTTGTGTTGTTGTCTCTTTGACACATTCCCCATTTCCATTCTTAATTTTATTCAGGTAAATTTGTGCAAACGTAATCATGGTAGTACCTGTCAAAAGTAAAATTCACGCAAATGTAGGTCGGCCATATCTACATGGATTCAGTTTTTGTTGTCGAGCCTGCTACTTTTGTCGCAGAAAGCTCAACATAGGGATAGTGATCTGGCGGCGACTAGGGCGGCGGCGGCGTTAGCTAACTTCTTAAAAGCTTTATATTTTAGAAGGTGGAAGATCTGGATGCTTCATACTTTGTATATGGATGCCTCATGTTACTAAGATTCCGTCAGTCACATGTCCAATGTCCTTGACCTCATTTTCATGGTTCAGTGACTACTTGAAAAAAAAGCTAAGATTTTTTGTAATGTTAAATTCTCTCTTATTATAAGTAATAGGATAACTATATTTGGTATGTGCGTACCTTGGAAGGTCCTCATGCCCGTCAGACAGTTTTCACTTGACCTCAACCTCATTTCATGGATCAGTGAACAAGGTTAAGTTTTGGTGGTCAAGTCCATATCTCAGATACTATAAGCAATAGGTCTAGTATATTCGGTGTATGGAAGGACTGTAAGGTGTACATGTCCAACTGGCAGGTGTCATCTGACCTTGACCTCATTTTCATGCTTCAGTGGTTATAGTTAAATTTTTGTGTTTTAGTCTGTTTTTCTTATACTGTATGCAATAGGTTTACTCTATTTGGTGTATGGAATGATTGTAAGGTGTACATGTCTAGCTGGCAGGTGTCATCTGACCTTGATCTTATTTTCATGGTTCAGTGGTCAAAGTTAAGTTTTTGAGTTTTGGTCTTTTTTTCTAATACTATATGCAATAGTTCAACTATATTTGGTGTATGGAAATATTTTATGATCTATATGTCAGTCACGCAGGTTTTATTTGACCTTGACCTCATTTTCAAGGTTCATTGCTCAGTGTTAAGTTTTTGTGTTTTGGTCTGTTTTTCTTAAACTATAAGCAATAGGTCAACTATATTTGTTGTATGGAAGAATTGTTAGCTGTACATGACTGCTAGCATGGTTCATCTGACCTTGACCTCATTTTCATGGTTCAGTGGTCAACGTTAAGTTTTTGAGTTTTGGTCTTTTTTTCTAATACTTTATGCAATAGTTCAATTATATTTGGTGTATGGAAATATTTTATGATCTATATGTCAGTCACGCAGGTTTTATTTGACCTTGACCTCATTTTCAAGGTTCATTGCTCAGTGTTAAGTTTTTGTGTTTTGATCTGTTTTTCTTAAACTATAAGCAATAGGTCAACTATATTTATTGTATGGAAGAATTGTTAGCTGTACATGACTGCTAGAATGGTTCATCTGACCTTGACCTCATTTTCATGGTTCATTGGTCAATGTTTAGTTTACTTGGTTAATGTTAATTTTATGTGACAGTTGTAGTAAAGCTTCATATTTAGGACTATCAACATAATATCAATGATTAGTAAAGAAGGCGAGACATTTCAGCGTGTGCACTCTTGTTTTTATACGACCGCAAACAAATTTTTGTGGTTGTATATTGGTATGATGTTGGCGTCGTTGTCGTCGTCGTCGTCGTCGTCCGTGGTCGTCGTCCAAAGACACATTGGTTTTTGCACTCTAACTTAAGTTTAAGTGAATGGATCTCTATGAAATTTTACCACAAGGTTCAATACCACAAAAGGAAGGTTGGGATTGATTTTGGGGGTTATGGCACCAACAGTTAAGGAATAAGGGGCCAAAAATAAGCATTTTTGTAACTTCCAGACATTACTTGTGTGTTAGTGTATGGATCTCTCTGACATTGTACCACAAGGTTCCATATCACAAAGGCAATGCTGGGATTGATTTTGGGGGTAATTGCCTCAAAATTGTAGGAATTAGGGGCCAAAAAAGGGGCAAAAAACAAGCATTTTTCTAGTTTCATGACAATAACTTGTGTGTAAGCGTATGGATCTCTCTGACATTGTACCACAAGGTTCCATATCACAAAGGGAATGCTGGGATTGATTTTGGGGGTGATCGCTCCAAATTTTAGGAATGAGGGGCCAAAAAGGGGGAAAAAACAAGCATTTTTCTAGTTTCATGACAATAACTTGTATGTAAGTGAATGGATCTTTATGAAATTGTACTACAAGGTTCCATATCACAAAGGGAAAGCTGGAATTGAGTTTGAGGGTAATTGCCCAAAAGTTTAGGAATAAGGGGCCAAAAAGGGGCCAAAAATAAGCATTTTTCTAGTTTCCAGACAATAACTTGTGTTCAAGTGTATGGATCTCTCTGAAATTGTACTGCAAGGTACCATACCACAAAGGGAAGGCTGGGATTGAGTTTGGGGGTGATGAATCATAAGGGGGTTCAAAAAATTTGGGGGGGATTTTTTTTTCCTTTTTTTCTTTAAAATTTTCCATTTTAAATTGGTTATTTCTGATTTATATATAAAAGCAATTAATAATGATATGGTTTGAATAGGTAAATTAAAATTTTTTAAGTTCTTTGACCACATTCATTCTGTGTCAGAAACCTATGCTGTGTCAAATATTTAATTACAATCCAAATTCAGTGCTGTATCAAGCTTGAATGTTGTGTCCATACTTGCCCCAACTGTTCAGTGTTTGACCTCTGCGGTCGTATCAAGCTGCTCCCCAGCGGAGCATTTTATTAATTTTGGAAAGTTTATTCAATTGCAATAAGCACAAACACTGAAATACCACATCCCTGGGTTCTAACTTTATTAGAATGATCATTGAGAGAAAAAGAATGGTTTTAATTACAATTTATATAAAATACATAAGATTCATAAAACCAACAGATTTATACCAAACTTTAGATTTTTCCTACCAGACCTGTAACTTTTTTTCTTATTAAATTGGTCACTTTTTTTGGTTTACTGAGAAAACCTTTGGGGTCCTAAAATGAATGTAATCAATATAGATACCTTCATTATGTCATCCCTAAAAGAAAGGAAAAAGACACCTGTATTAAATATAGCAGTCAAAATCTATTTGACAGGATGAAAATTTACAGAGATTAGAGTTGGTATTTTTCCTGTTTTTTTTGGCAATGGACTGTTTTATAATGATCATAAAGTCATTGACTGTATTACAATGATTATTAAGTCATTGACTGTATAACAATGATTGTAAAGTCATTAACTGTATTGACAATAGACATAAAGTCATCTAGTTATCAGTGTCAGTGTATTACAATAGACATATTAAAAGTCATTTCAAATTTATCAATGTCTTTTACTTTACATTCTGACACTGAAGATTTAAGACATTACCAGTAAATAATTTGTTCTGTCCATGATCTACAAATGTATGGTATCTTATTAAAAAAGAACATTATATCAATAAATGTCATTAACTTTGGAATTATCACTCAATAAATACTATTAACCTTCTAATAAACAGTACTCGAAGTGTTATTACAACATCTGTTCCATATTCAATGAACATTTTGGGAGTCTATTTCTGGAGAACTAAGAAAAATCATGTATTTGGGTAAAAACTGCTGAAATAAAATAGAAGGGAAATAATTCTCTATTCATTTTGTCAGAAATTTGAACTTACATCCTAACCCGAATAATTCAGTCGTTATATTCTGCTGATCTACAATAACGCCATTAACGCCTGAATGCATAGACAATGAAAAATCTTCAATTAGTCGTTCGTAATAAGGCACCAATTAAATCCAGGATTCATGAAGAGTTTTTATTGTGTATTAGGAATTCAGGCCCTCGCAAATAGGAAAGATTGATTATGGGGAGCGACTGAATTATTCGGGTTACTAACATCCTAGAAACTTATGAAAGAAAAAGATGTGTTAATCTTTCAATATTAAAAAGTCAATGAAATGTATATCCCCTTTAAAAGTGAATGACAAGGAAAGTTTGAATTATATCTTTTGTTGTTCCAGCGTAAAATAATGATTCCATTAAATAATTTAAAGTCAAAATAAATACAAGTTTTTTCAAGCATACATCAGACAGCCACTCAACAGCATATCACTACTAGAAGAAGACAAATTTAAGACATTATGAGAAATGCTGAAACTAAATTGGTTTGAATCACCCAGAGAGAGAAGATTGAAAGATATTTTTGAATCATCAATGTCTGTCATCATGTTTTTCGTAAAATTTTGTTATGAATTAGGCTGTTAGTTTTCTCGTTTGAATTGATTCACATTTTTCATGTCGGGGCCTTTTATAGACTTTTTTTATAGGTTTTATACATCCACTTCATTTGAACTCTGGTAGATAATTTTCTCATTGGCAATCATACCACATCTCTAAGTCTTTATTTTTATATATTTATTAAGTGACAGTATAAGTTGCCACTGACATGTTTCTATTCGTTTGATAGGAATTTTTTTATTGTACCTTTTATTATTCCTTGGTTCAACTGATAATTAAGAATTAATTTCAGCATCTTCTGTATTATTTAATATTTTTTTACATTTTGTTTTTCAGCCTCAGGAAATACAGAAAGCAACATTGAAAGCTACCATCAATAGTTTGTTAAAGGATAAAAGGTATGAAAGCTGAGACATTTATTTTCTTAAGATCTAGAAACTGTCCAGTCAAAGATAATAATATCATGGATATAATCACCATGGTTTATAAAAGTAAAGAGAGAAGCATGCCTCATAACTCCACCATGAACATTTTTTTTATCATAGGAAGAATGCATATGTGCAGCTGCATATGTGTATAAATAAAAACTAGAATCATCTAAAATTAGCTGAAAACAAAAGCAATAACTGGTGGAAATTAATTCACTAATTATACCTTGGACAGTGTAAAGCAAGACCAAGGCTATATTATCTTAATTATTTGTTTCCTTATTTCCTTAATGCTTACCAGGAATCAAGAATCTGGGAATGGAATGATCAGGTAAAATTAAATCGTTAAATGTTGGCTTTGTCTTTATTATATGTAAGGGATGCCACGGCCTTTCTTCTCATCAAAGTCAATACTGTAAATTCAGATTTTTTGCATGCATTTAGATATGATGATTGTTGAATAATGGGCAAAAATGTGAAACTTATTATTGTAATTTCATGAAATGCTTTCAAAATTCAAGATGTGAGTTTTTATTTAAGCAAAACTTATCCAATGGCAATGTCAGTAATAATAAAAATATTGCAAAAATTTCCAAATTTACAGTATTCATATACAATTCTTCCTCTACATCAATATCAAGGAAGTTAGATATGAAAGGTGTTATTTTCTTATAAAATATTAGAAGTCACAGTATTCAATTTTTCAGTAATGATGAATAAGTCTTAATATGCAGCAGGGGAAAACAACAAAATAATTGTCACTACGTCATGCTGCAATATCTTATTTTTTCATACGTTACTCTTACTTAAATGATTTAGAAATGAAAGTCCCATTATGCATATTAAACAATGTTGTTAACTTTACATTGTCTGTACTTTATGTTCTGTAAAGGTATTTAACTAACTTTCAGCTTTACTTCTAACAGTCACACTCTGTTAAATGGAATGATTGCATGGCAAACATGTCTGTCTGGCAAGGCTCATCTGACCTTGACCTCATTTTTATGGTTATGAATGTTTCTCAGATACTGTAAGATATAGGTCAACTATATTTGATGTAATGCATGATTGAATGGGTATTTTTCCTCTGGAAAGGTTTATCTGACCTTGATCTCATTTACATGGAGCATTTATAGTAATTTGAAGTTTATGTGATACTTGTTGTATAACTTTTATCAAAAAGACTTTCGACATAAATTCAATCATGATCCGTAATGTAGATGAGACATTTCAGCCTTTGCACTCTGTACCTTCAAACATTAATATGGTGGATATGTTTAACAGCATTTTACTAAATGATGGAGCTGTTTTACTTTCAAAGTCGTGTTCTAGTATCTATTAAGTGCAGATTTTCCGCACACTCTCATCGTATTTATTTTCATTTACACAAGCTATTCGAACTTCCAGTTCAAACATACACAAGTTTCTCAATTGTGAGTTTGACTTATTTTAACACTTGTAAAGCATTTAGAATCATTAACATTCATTTTCAACTTCTATTTGATGATGGAAAATGGGTTATTTTCCATGAAAATACTGGAAATGACTTGAAATTACCAGAGTTTCATTAAACTTTTTCGAACAGTTGCAAAAATTTGTTTACCTGAATCTGAATTCTCATGGCGAGAGGGGGAGGACAATGTACCAGTATGAACTATACAAGGCCGATTACGGTATTCAAGTTCTGACCTGTAATTTCTTATTCAAAATTTTCATTCATATTATGAAGAACATACAACCACATTTATGCTAGCTAAGAATTATAATTATTTTTTGTACAAATATTTGAAAATATATTTGTTTTTTTCCAGGCCTCACACAAAAGATGATTTACGAGCTTACTTAGTATTGATGCAGGTAATTAATTTATTATTGAAAAGCTGAGTCTTTGTTTCACAAATAGTCAGACTGAAATATATCTTCAATTAATCATTTTTTTAAATACAATGAAATAAAATATTGTATTTGTACAAGGATTTGTCTCTAAAAAATGGTCTTTTAAAAGGGTAATTCAAATTTGGATTTAGAGGAGGCAATATAGATCAATATTTTACATATATATATGTTTTGTAAACATTTGTATAGATGAAACGTAATTTTATATAAGTTGACTTATGTAAAAGGTTTATTGATTTGTTTCACACTATATTCATGATATTGTATCAGATAAAATATAGAACAAAAACATGAAACAAATTGTTGAGGAAACAAAAAGTTTTAGGTAATATTATCAGATTATTACATGGCATTTTTCATATCAGATATATTATCAGCCCAAGAGCTGAAGGCTCCGAGGGCTCAAGTGCTGATGATACATCTGATATGAAAATGACATGTTATGATCTTTTTATCATATGCTTCAACAATGGAGAAAAATAACAGTTTAATATATTGATCCTTTTGAGTGGTTCTCAAGTAGAAGTTCAAAAAGTGAAAAGTTTACGGACGTCGGAAGCCAAATGTAATACATCAGATATGAAATCTTTCTGTCATATGCCTCAACAGAGCAGAAAAACAACAGTATAATATATTTTTATATTGACTATAAAAAAAAAACCCTACTTTGTTATGTTTTTCACTGAAAACATATGATTGAGGTGTATTTCTGGAATTTGCTGAGTAATGTCGAAATGCCATATGTGATAACGTTACGGAAAGGCATGCGATAATACCCGGAAGCAGTTGATAAATTTTTCATATCAGCCGGCTAAGCACCATTTCGGAAAATATGGAATTCACCTAAATTTAATGTTATTATCATACTGTAAAAATTATAAGTTATTTACTTAAAGTATATGATAATGATAAATATTTTATTATAGATGTATGAATTATTATTACATGTCAATTTTTAAATTTCTATTAAATATCAATTACATGTATAAATTTTTAGCTTTCACTTTGTGTTGATCATGGTTGATCCTAAACTATCAGGATTTCTGATCCCTAACCACTGATAGAAATTTTACATATTAATCCAAAGCTCATCATCAGAGGATAACAGAAGTTTGATCTGCATATACAAGTTTAAACATTATCTTCTAAACATTGAAACAATAGATTTAGATGTAGTAACATCTTGTGGTCTTGCTGAGGAACCTTCCAATCTAAATAAATTGATTATGACTACAAATCAAGGTAACAAACAAATAACTGAAGGAATCGTATGAATCCATGAGGTCCTCATCATACAAAGTATAAATCTTTTTGAAAAACAAAAAGTATATGGCATACATTAGTTGAAACGGTCTTGGTTTTGCACCTAAGCCTATTGGAAATTAATTGAATATCTTCTTGTGAACTGATGAACCATTAAAAAGTAAATATAAGAGGAAGAAGTCTTGTAAGATTTTTATAGAATTTTCTAACTTTGTGCCAATTTGATAATCAATTTGTCTGCTCAGTTTTATGTTTTATCCAATAGGAAGTACATAAAAAAGTCTTCTTCATATGATAAATAACAAATTAAAAACAATAATGACACTGCTGGTCTGTTGTGTTTTTGTGGAATTAATTTTTTCTTTGAGGAATAAGAAAGGTGAATCAATTTTCTATTTGTGATCTATTATTATGAAACTGGAATCAATACACTGTTGGCTTTATTGATATTTTTGGGTACATAATTTATGTAACCAACTTCTCCTACAGTTTTTAACCCAGATTCCTGAAACTTCACAGGAAGGTTGCACATATGTTGAAGTTATGTGACTGCTATTATGGAATTGTTTGAGAAATTTTTTCTCCTTTTCCAGACTTGGGAACTTAGTAATTTTTCAGCAAAATATATCAAAGAGTTTTAACTTCTCCTACAGTTTTCGACCAAGATCTCTAAGACTTCACAGAAACATCATACACATGTTGAAGTTGTGCACCCATACCATTATAGAATGATTTGAAGATTTTTATTCACATTTTTCTGGATTTCTTTTCATATTGCAACCCAGCTATTTGAGACATATAGTTTTACCCTTGTTCATCATTCTGTCATTCCATCATTCCTCAATGAACAGGTATACAGACTTTTTTTAAAAGCCTTCACATATTGAGCTGATAATTAGTATGTCAGTCTACTATGGAGAGTTAAAGATCGAGGTTCTGTTCTGCTGATTTTTGCCAAAATTACAGGCTTTCAAAGGATTTTGAAAATTTCCACTCCTATAAATGGTTTCAAGCCTTTTTTTCAAGCGGGGCCATTCGTGTCGTTCCAACACATCTAGTTTAAATTTAGAATTAATTTTATAAGCATTTGAAAAACATTCTACAATTATTTAAAAAATATGTAGTGATTAAAGTAAATAAATGTGACATCTGTTTAAAATATTGTAACTATTATCCTTTAAACTACAAGGAAAGATAAAAATCTATCTGCATAAAAAGCATTACATAAAAATGAGAGAATAGTTCTTCCATTTCACCTTTATTTCCTGTACTGTCCTGGGTAACATTGATTGTTGTAGTAAACACAGACATGTAATTCAATACTTCCATTAAATAATTGATCACTCCTTTCCAGTAATGCTCCATATCCATAATTACAGCATTAAGTAAGGGAAATACGTCTATTATATCATTGAAACGCTAGATTTGTTAAACAAATATTCGGATCTTGATGTCAACAAACAATTGTCATAATTTTTAAGGTAACCTTGTATTGAAATTAACTTGGCATTTGAAGCTTTTTAACTAGATTACTTGTTTTATTGATGTTTTAATGACTGCTAAGAGAAAATCTATAAGTAATTTAGGACTATGATTCATTCCATGCCAAAATATAAGTACATTATACTAGAGATGGATCTACCGCTATGAAGATCCTGTTAACTATTTAGAAAGTGATTTTTATACGACCGCAAAAATTAAAAAAAATTTGGTCGTATATTGGTATGACGTTGGTGTCGTCGTCGTCGAAAGACACATTGGTTTTCGCACTCTAACTTTAGTTTAAGTGAATGGATCTCTATGAAATTTTACCATAAGGTTCAATACCACAAAAGGAAGGTTGGGATTGATTTTGGGGTTTTTTACCGTTATGGTACCAACAGTTAAGGAATAAGGGGCCAAAAAGGGGCCAAAAATAAGCAATTTTGTAACTTCCAGACAAAACTTGCGTGTTAGTGTATGGATCTCTCTGACATTGTACCACAAGGTTCCATATCACAAAGGGAATGCTGGGATTGATTTTGGGGGTAATTGCCTCAAAATTTTAGGAATTAGGGGCCAAAAAAGGGGCAAAAAACAAGCAATTTTCTAGTTTCATGATAATAACTAGTGTGTAAGTGTATGGATCTATCTGAAATTGTACTACAAGGTTCCATATCACAAAGGGAAAGCTGGAATTGAGTTTGGGGGTAATTGCCCAAAACATTTTGGAATTAGGGGCCAAAAATAAGTATTTTTCTAGTTTCCAGACAATAACTTGTGTTCAAGTGTATGGATCTCTCTGAAATTGTCCTGCAAGGTACCATACCACAAAGGGAAGGCTGGGATTGATTTTGGGGGTAATTGCCTCAAAATTTTAGGAATGAGGGGCCAAAAAGGGGCAAAAAACAAGCATTTTTCTAGTTTCAGGACAATAACTTGTGTGTAAGTGTATGGATCTTTATGTAATTGTACTACAAGATTCCATATCACAAAGGGAAAGCTGGGTTTGAGTTTGGGGGTAATTGCCCTAAACGTTTAGGAATTTGGCGCCAAAAAGGGGCCTAAAAACAAGCATTTTTCTAGTTTCAGGACAATAACTTGTGTGTAAGTGTATGGATCTTTATGAAATTGTACTACAAGGTTCCATATCACAAAGGGAAAGCTGGGTTTGAGTTTGGGGGTAATTGCCCTAAACGTTTAGGAATTTGGGGCCAAAAAGGGGCCTAAAAACAAGCATTTTCTAGTTTTCAGACAATAACTTGTGTTCAAGTGTATGGATCTCTCTGAAATTGTACTGCAAGGTACCATACCACAAAGGGAAGGCTGGGATTGATTTTGGGGGTAATTGCCTCAAAATTTTAGGAATTAGGGGCCAAAAGGGGCAAAAAACAAGCATTTTTCTAGTTTCAGGACAATAACTTATGTGTAAATGTATGGATCTTTATGAAATTGTACTACAAGGTTTCATATCACAAAGGGAAAGCTGGGTTTGAGTTTGGGGGTAATTGCCCTAAACGTTTAGGAATTTGAGGCCTAAAAGGGGCCTAAAAACAAGCATTTTTCTAGTTTCCAGACAATAACCTGTGTTCAAGTGTATGGATCTCTCTGAAATTGTACTGCAAGGTACCATACCACAAAGGGAAGGCTGGGATTGAGTTTGGGAGTGATGAACCATAAGGGGGTTCAAAATATTTGGGGGAGGGATTTTTTTTTTCTTTAAAATTTTCCATTTTGATTTGGTTATTTCTGATTTATATATAAAAGCAAATAATAATATGGTTTGAATAGGTAAATTAAAAAATTTTAACTTGCTGTGTCAAATATTTAATCACAATCCAAATTCAGTGCTGTATCAAGCTTGAATGTTGTGTCCATACTTGCCCCAACTGTTCAGGGTTCGACCTCTGCGGTCGTATCAAGCTGCACCCAGCGGAACATTTTATTTTTTTTGGAAGGATGTTGATTATATAAACCTACATATATATGTGCATAAAAGTAGGTTAGCATTCTAGCAGAAATATACCTGCTTGAATGTTATCTTGAATTTTTTTTTTAGAATCCACATCTAGGAAGTACCTCCGCATATGTAATATATTGTTGTTTATTTTAATTTTAGATCTCCGATTTAGACACTGTTTACATATGCAGTTATATAATATTCAATTTTTTGGACTTGTTTCAGAATATTTAGTTGGAGTTACTTTAACAATTACAATATTTGGTTGTATCTTTTCAGAATCTTCAGTGTGGGAGTTACCCCAACATATACAACATTTTGTGTTCTTTCACTTCTTATACAATGTACTATAAGAATCCTAAGTTTTGAGAGTACATAAATATATGTAACTCTTTCATAAACTCAAGATTAGAGTACCTATATTTACTGTAAATTTTTGTGTGCATTTAATATTGCGATTTTTCAAGAATGAACAAAAATGCTAGTTTAATACTTAGTTTACTTATTGTTATTTCGAAAAAATCTGCATACAGATCTATGTTTAAGTTATCAGAATGCGAGTTCTTATAATTTTTATACTCATCCAATCGCATTATTTGCATTTATAAAAACCTGGCAATAATTTCTGAATTAACAGTATGTAATATTGAATGTATGAACTCTTTTCAGAATCCTCAGTTTGAGAGTGCCTCTACATATGTAATATTTGCTCACATGTTACGACAGATTGCAGCCTTGAACGATCATGACCACCATTTCCTTGTTCATTGGATCAGACGGTATAAACCCTTGGAGAATTTGATCATTTATTTATATGTCATCGTTTATGTCAGCATCAAAGCAACATGACTTGATAAAAAATAAACATGAAAAAGATCAAATTTATAAGATATGCAATACTGATCGTGTGAAACTCCTTATGGATTTCTTGAAACAATATATTCATGTGTACTGTAAAAATGTTTTAATTTGTGGGGGAGGAATTATTATTCATTTCAGTATTTACACAACAATTTTGTTAGGTATAAATCTGAAACGAGGAAGTAAAGTCTATAAATTTCTAACTATGACAATTGGAATCTCTGAATTAAGTACTTTCACAATAATCGGAATAGTTGTCATGTCAGTAGGGGACTGAGAGCAGGAAGTACATTAATTTACAAACTTAACATAGAAGAAATATATAATCATACAGCTTTGGGTTTACAATATATATATATATAGTGACAGATGACTGCTTTGACTATACTAGTACTGGTTTGACTCATTTGGGACAAGTAAAATAATTCAATGTGAAATACTACCATACATGTTTTTTGCAATCAGTTACTGATGAATAACAGCAAAACATTCACATTTAATTTCTTTTTCTTTTATAATTACAGGCTAAAATCTGTTCCAGTCAGGAAGCTTATAAAACGTCTCCATAGTTTCATATCAATCCGTCTGTTCCCTCCTCGTCCTCAAGATTTACCTCCTATGCAAAAGTGTTCATGGTGGGTCCCTAGTGCCACCAAAGTCATGGCATTAATAAGTAAGTTATGAAGTGATTTATATTACTAGTATATTTTCCTTCAAGGAAAAACTTTAAGTCAGTTGTAATGCTTCTTAAAGAAATATGCATGATATTATTGATATTGGGGAAAAGGGGAAGGGATATGCAAAAATACAAATGCATGTTATTTAATATTAAAACAAGGAATATTAGCTTCTTTAAGATTATTCACTTATATACACTAATGTAAGACTTTTCACACATATATATATATATATATATATATATATATACTACAGTTCCTATAAGAAGAATTCATACTTATATGTGAAAGTCATCAATATAACAAGAGAGTCCCTAGCATAGTGATGCAAGTTGTACATGTACAGTTATCCCTAGCTGTCAACACTAATGTTGTGAGTTCGAACCCCGCTCCTGACAAGGTGTATTTGACTCTTGATCTTAATTGACTAGAATTGCCAGTTTTCTTGCAGACGTTTGTGGTTCTCATTGGGTACTCTGTTTTCCTCAACAAACAAAAACTGGCCACCATGAAATAGTTGAAAGTGCCATTGGACACCAACAATCAATTAATATAATAACTAATTTCCTTTGTAATACTGCTGCATAGGCAAACACCACAAACATATGTTTAAAATCGTTCTCTTTTTTTTTCCATTGTTATTTGTGTTTTTTATTTCAAAAATTTAAGAATAGCCAGTAATATTTATATCAAATAATTATCTCATTATATTGACAAGAAATGCACCAAGCAAAAAGTTGCTGTTTTCAAAGCAATTTTTGTTTTGTTTATAATTTTACTGCTGTACCAAAATATTTGTTTCATTTGAATTTTAGATGCTGCAAATAATTTATCTAGTCCTCTTTTGGTGCCATTCTATGAGTTTTACAATCCAACCCTGGATCACTTAGATCTGATGGCTGAGTATTATACATGGCAAAATCCTAGCTCTTGTGCTGGGTAAGTATATTAGGCTAATGAACTTTATTTGAACTTTGGTGGATAGTTGTCTCATTGGCAATCATACCTCATTTCCTTATTTTTATTTTGAAAGTTAAGAGGTATAGACCTTACTCTTACTGATAACTTTGTATCAACTATTACCATAAAATTGTTAGGCTTTTATTAACACAGATTATTTTAATTCTGTATTGCATTAATGCTTATCAAGTATTGGCAAAAGTCACCATTTAAAACACATCACTGATTTGATGAGTCAACTCCCATAAACCAGGTATAAAACCCCTTAAACCCCCCATAAAAGAGAATGTTCCTTAATGTGATTATAGTTGTGTTATTTAACTTATAATAAAAGAAATGAGACAAAAATAAAGTTTAAGGAAACTAAGCATGCAGATGCTGAAAATCCACAAAAAAAAGTACTGCAAAAGATGTCACATATAATTTGAAGAAAAATTATCTTACTTTCTTTTTTCAGATTTTCCTTCTGTCAATATCCATTCATTTTAAGTATAACAGCAAAGAGAACAATTTTACAACGAGATTCAGAACAACAAATGATTATAATGGCCAGGGTTTGTATAAAATCATTTCATCTCAGAACATACTCAGTTATATTCCCTTAAGTTTTTCAAAATTTACTTTTGTCACAGATCCAGGAGCAAGATATCTATTATATGAAAAAGTGTTAAAAATAAAAATGGATTTATGTTAGTAAAGGGGTTTAAACAAAAAATGACAGAATTCTTTCATACTTTGCCTAAATGCAGTTTGTATTATGCTATATTCAAAAATATATGGTTTAAGTTGTTAAATTGCAGAAACCTTTACAAATTTCTGATTGCACTTCAAATGACATTTAAATAGAGCAAATTTTCTGTATAAAATTTAAACTTGTGTGGCCTTTAGAAACCCAAACTATTTACTGCTTTAGATATGCATATGGAAGACAAGAAAACTATGTACATAGATATAAGAAGATGTGGTATGAGTGCCAATGAGACAACTCTCCATCCAAGTCACAATTTGTAAAAGTAAACCATTATAGGTCAAAGTACGGCCTGCAACACAGAGCCTTTGCTCACACTGAACAGCAAGCTATAAAGGGCCCCAAAAATGACTTGTGTAAAACCATTCAAACAGGAGAACCAACAGTCTAATCTATATAAAAAACGAGAAACAAGAAGCACTTATGAACCACATTAACAAATACAGACATACAGATCTTTATGATTCTGACAAACACTTTGGAATGCGACTGTGTGGATGCATTTATAAGAAATATAATTTTCTCCCTCCTCAATTAACCCTTACATTTTTTATGATATGGACTAGTTACTGTTAACACTTCCATTGGATTAAGTTATAATTGCTTCACCTTGAACCGTGCTGAATTTTTTCCTGCATGTATAATTGAGAATGTGAATGGAACAATAATTGTTTATAAAGACAGGGGTGTTAACTCTGATGTTGAAGAATTTGTTTTAGAAATAATTATACTATACTTGTTTGTCACAGATGTTTTTTGGACCTCAGTGGTCTTTTGGTCCATTAATTGTTCAAGCATGTCTGGTCCAGTCAGTGTTTTAGTAGTCTTTTACATTATGAGTATAACAAAATTCTTACATCTTCACTGGTCATTTGGTCCAGTAATTGATGACACTTTACTGGACCAAACAATTTATTACTGGACATTGCCACATGTCTGATGGACCTTGAGAATGACTGTGGTCAATTAACCATTATAGTTTTGATTTGCATGTTATTTTTTACTTCAATACAAAAAGTGCAAGCTTAAAAAATTGACTCATTTATCATGTTAATTGCCTATATGGATTCCTGGTATCTTGCTAGCCGCAAATTTCTGCACCACAACTTTCAGAAAGTTGTGGGTTGAATCCTCAGCCAAATCAACAATTCAAAATTGATATTTACTGCTTTTCTGTTAAGCTTGCAACATTTAGAAGTAAGAGCAAAGACTGGTTGAAGGCATGTTGAAGGCCATACAGTGACCTATAGTTGCTAACTTCTACGTCAGATGGTCTTTGGTGGAGTGTTGTTTTATTGGCTATATCATACCACATCTCACATTACAGATAAAATTCCTTGTATACAAGAATAATCTTACTGTTATTTTATTGCCATGTTGTTAGTTGATAAATGAATATATTTTTATAGAGAAGTTTAGTGGCCAAGGTGCAAAGACGGCAACTACCAGATGTAGGGATGTTGTTTCTGAACCTAAACATTAGAAGAGCCTATCTGGTCTCTGACTCTTTAAATGAGGTAATGCATGGAAATAATTATATATAATTGTAACATATATAGCAGTGAAATATTGATTTTTTTCGGTGAACCTTGAAAGTCACAAGTCCTTTAATTTATGGTGATGAAATTTCATATTTTTTTTTATTTATTTATCTTTTTTATTTATTCTTTTATTTTTTATTTTTTTGTGCTAAATTAATTTTTATACTTAATGTTTACTTTTCTTTCATTTTAATTAGATTAATTAGTTTTCATTATGAGAAGATATATAAGTTTGATCTGAAATTTCACAGATTGCAGAGAAACAGCATGATTTAAAGAAGAAACTGAAAGTTACGTTTGTTGGTGAACCAGGTCTTGATATGGGAGGACTGACAAAAGAATGGTTCCTTCTCCTACTACGACAAATATTTCATTCTGATTATGGTAAGAAAATCAAAGTATAAACAAATGTGCACATATAACAACCAAAATCAATGTAAAAGGCCTCATTTGCAAAGTAACTGATTTAAATTTGTATGGATCAGTAAGTTATAAGCTACATCTAAATTCTGCATACAGATATATAGGGTGTTTGCAACTGTTAATAAAACCTTAGAAAAAAAACATTCTTATGAATATTTATTATAAACACCGATGTTTCTAGAGAGAGCTATATAACTTTATGTTTATTATAATGACAGGAATGACACATATTATAAGGTATGGAAAGAATATTACCTCCATGGTGTTTCCAGTTGAAAAAAAGAAGACTTGATTAAATGTTGGTGGCAATTAGATCAAGTCGATGTTTCTGGATGGTTTTAATTTTAAAAAATTTTGCTCTACCATAAGTTACAAAAAAAATGTGCAGCAAATATCATAAAATATAAACTCCCGACATATAGTGAAATATATTATTTACCTAAAGCTATGATTTATGATATATTTTACAGGTATGTTTACATATGACAAGAAAGCTGGTGTACATTGGTTTAGTTCTGCTCAGTGTGAAACTTACCAAGAATTTAACCTTGTAGGAGTTGTATCCTTCTTCAGTATTGACAGAAGTCACTTGTTTCATATATATTTCAGTGTATTTTTTCATTGTTTATATCTTCACTCAGTTGATAAACACTGGATTAACACCTTCCTTACACCATTCCCCTTCCCTAACCCTCCTTTGGCTGTGAGTGTGTAAGTTTAAAAGTGTCCGTTCTTTAGATTAATTAGATTAACAAATTGTGCTAAGACTCATTTGCAACTTGGACAGTTTTGACTGTTCTGTTAAGGACCTGTAATTTTTTTATGCAATCTGATGAAAGTGCAGATCGTGTGCTTTGCTTACAAGGACATGACAATGTTTAATTTTACTTCCTATTCTAGTGATCTTATCAGAATCCCAAGGATTTGTCATTGTGATTCATACCTGAAAAGATTAAAGGCTGTTGTTTTATTCATTAATTTAATGGCTCTCAATTGAAAATAGTACAAAGTATTGTGAGATCTTTGTAAGTAAAACAAGTACAAGGGATCTGTATTTCGGTTAGGTTTTTATGCTGTAAGACCTATTATAATATTTTGCTTTCCTAAAGTTTAGTCTTCAGTGAACTTCATGAAGGTTATACCAGAAACATGTATTGTGCATATATAAATCATATTATAATTTTTTTTTTTATTGACAATTTTATACTTTTCCCAAAGAGCCCATTTTTTGAGATATGAAACTTATTCAATTTACAGAGTCATTTACATGATGACCATTTCAATCATAAACATTTTGTCAGATATTTCTTAACACTAATTAGTTAATGGGTTTAGCAGTATACAATAGTATAATACTGGACATAAGATTTCCTGCCTGTTGTTACAAGAAGTTACTGAGCCCTGCTGTAGTACCATATAATAACCCCAGAGCTGTTGTTGGAGTCACACCATTAACTGTAAATGATCTCAAAACCGTTCAACCGGTATGTATAATCAAAATTTAAATACATTTAAACAGAAATATGAATTTTGTGATATTTTATAAATAGTTATTATCATTATTTTATCATTTTACAAAATATAATATCACATACCAAATTTATATTGATATGAATTGGTCTTCTTATTATAAAGCAATTTTTTTAAATTCTGATACATAGTTAAATCTGTTACATCATAAATCTTTGCTTATATAGAATTTTTCCACTTTTGTTTCTTTACAGGAAGTAGCCAGTGGTTTGAAGGATTTGTTGTTATATGATGGTGACGTAGAAGATGATTTTGGTTTAACCTTTCAGGTAATTTTGTTGAACTGTATTCTGTGTACCTATTGAATGAGAAATCAACCTGTCCAAAATCCTCAATCTTGTCAACACTATTATTGATCTAAACCTACATGACAACATCAAACTTATGTCCAGATTGAGGAGATGAAATAAAACAAAATTATACTTATCAAAACATGGTATTGTTTTCTTTGTGCCTTTTGTCTTTTTTTTTTACGCTGATATTGGAAAATAATTAATTCACATGTTCTTTAAGGTATAAGTATGCAGGAGATTATGATAAAATTATTGATAAAAATGGAAAAGTCATACTGTAAATATTGTCATTCATTGCCTGAAATAAAGCAATTGTAAACAAAAAGAAACTTTCATTGCACAATCAAGTTATTGTCGGATTTAACTGCTTTTTTTTTAGAGATTATTGATGTCTGAAGGACTTTTATATAAAGTTTGTGAGTCAGCAACCTAGTTTTCACATCAATAACCTCTAGAAAAAATGTGTTTAATCTTTATAATTGCAAATCAAAATATTTTAATTTTTTCTTTCAATTTAAAACTTTCATGGAACCCCAGTATTCCATACATCGGATGAAATCAACATGGTGTTTACGTAGGCTATGAAAATAGTTTTTGCAGCATGGTCTATGGAAGTATAAACCAAGTAGAAAAATTCTAATGGACCAATATCATTCAAGTATTTGTAGATATGCAAATTGTATAACAAAAATAATCCTGTTAATCTTATTTTGACCTTCTACTTTTACACAGGTATCTCAGTCTGAATTTGGATCTGTTAAAACTGTAGAATTAAAGCCAGGTGGTGCTGATATATCTGTCACTAAAGCCAATAGGGAAGGTAGGTGTCATTTACTAGTAATACTGACTCATTCATGAAGGATAGAAAATGTCAATTAAAATGTTTTTCTTTGTTTGTTGGCTGGTTTTATATATTCAATTCATTTATGCTATTTCATGTGATGTGTTTTATTAGTTGAGATTTTGAACCTCCATCCTTCAGTGAGCATCACTATTTATTATTTCCTTTGATTTATATTACAAATAATTGAAAAATTGCCTGATAACCAACCTCTTTGGTCATTGATTGCAGTGATTTGTACTGGTTAATGGTCCATCAGTTGTATATTTCTAAAATTTCTTTAAATATAGTTCAAAACATTTTAGTAACCCTAGTTATGATAAAGGAGGAGGTATGATAAGAGTCATTATTTCAATATTTGGTCCCTAAATAGTAAAATTTAACAATCATTTCATAATTTTGTTATTGTCCAGCCTGCAAAATTTTGTCCCAAAGCATAGCAATAACATAGCAATCCTAAATTCCATCAGCTTTAGGTTTCAGTCTTTGGTTTAAGATATTTAGACATCAATACCTTTGTCAAACCTTCTTGGAATTATATGACACTTGAACTGAAGCTTTTTTTATGATCAAAATACAGTATCCATAGACAAATTTTGAAATCACTTTTTCATTTTTTTCATATTTCACTGATAAAAAAATGGACTTAGTCTTTTTTGCAGTAAGCATTTAGATACAGTCTTTGTCAAACCATCATAGAATTTTATAAAACTTAAAGGTTGTTGTTCCTATCTAAATGTTAATGAGAATAATTAACTTTTTGACAACTTTGACCTTTATAGGATTTTTGTCATTAATGCAAGAAGTATGAGGGTGGGAAGCATAAATGCACATCAAATTTTGAATATCTGATAACTGACAGGTAATGCCCTGTGAACATCTAAAGGAGGATGTTTGTTTTACAGTGAAGAACATTTCAAATTAAAGGACAAAAAGGCATTGTCATTCTTCTTTACTTTTAATAACTCAGATTTTGGAATCAACTTAACCTTACGTTACACTGTAAACCAGATATGTGTGAACCAATTTATTGCAAGAAGTCACCACTTGGCATGGAACAGTTATAAAAAACTACAGTTAAAAACATTTATACCTACAAGATCTTTAGCTGAAAATTTTTCCAACAAAATGTAATTCATTAACAAATTAAAAAAGAAAATGTACATCAGTTATCTTCAGTTTATAGTTTTGAATTTTTTTTCAGAGTATGTACAGTTGTATGTTGATTGGGTTCTAAATAGATCAATTTACCCACAATTCCAAGCATTTTACCATGGTTTTCACAGTGTATGTGCATCGAACGCATTGATTGTAAGTTGTATATATATGTACACATCTGGCCTTGCAGTCATAAAAATTACGAGCATGATTATTGTACTCAATTTTGAACTCCAAATACCGAGTAAAGTTTTATGACAGAGAGCCCTGGTTAGGGTTTTCAGATTCTGAATTCTAATTTTTCATGTTAAATTCCTTAAAAAGTGTATTAATTTTATTTAACAATGGTTTTATTAGCTCAGCTTTCTCAAAGAGCAAAATGAGTTGAAGTGATAAACTTACGTCTGCTATCTGTCCTTTGTTCCTTATTGTTACATTATTTGTGATAATTCATATTTCCTTTAGCTTGAACTATTTGAATGTCTACCTCTTATCATAAAACTTTTTGTTAAACAAAAAACAGAAATGTTTTGTTAATATGTATATATAAAGAGGCTTATTTGATGGCATATACCGTATATCAGATTTTTTTTCGCATAAATTTTCCTATATATTCCAAGATATTTCTCTGTTTAAACGTTGCACACATAATATTGTAAATTATCCAGTTTACACGAAATTGATATGTACACTGTTTTCACACTAAAGATGAAATAACTTTATACATAAAATCAGTTTTTTATGTTAACCGACAGATCACAAGAATGTGCATAATAATTAAGGAGTCTGTTTTCATAATGATTACATTGGCTAATCATACATGTCATACCTTTTGACAACACATCAATCAGTGACATGTTCAAAAATATTGATAAGCGACAATCTATTTATTGTTGTGATTACCCAAACATTTTGCATATAATGTAAAAAATAAATTGAAATAAATCACATTTACACGGATATTTGCACAAATATGCTATGAATTTGTTCTAATATACTATCGATTTTAGCATGTCGCAATGAACAAAAATTACTTTCTTGAAAGTTCCCCGAATTATGTGTAATTTAGATTGCAGTATTGATATTTATTTGCAATCGATTACCTGTCAATCAATAAAGTTTACGTTGTTTACATCACTAACAATACTATATACAGTGATTTTTTCGCGTTTATTTTCCCATTCAGCGAAACATTATTCACAGTGAAAATTTAACCTGCCCATTTTATCATCAAATCGTGAAAAAAGTCGATGCTAAAAAAAAAAAATTGTATACAGTATTATTGTTCATTAAGATTCTCACTGAAAATTATGTGAAGTTATATTTTCATTTCTGAAATTACTAGTGCAGTCTGAATCAAACTTCTCTAATAAAGATATAGAGTGTCTGTAATAAATAATGGTATAGAGGATTTACAATGAGAATTATAATGCTGTTATGACAAATATGAGGGCAGAGTCAAACCTAATGATAATGCTTATGACAGATACAGTAGTAATGATCCTGCTATCTTCATTTAGCCATAGCATATGCAACCTGGTATCTACAAACCAAAATAGCCTGAAGTTTATGTCATATTCATGTATTTTTAACAGTGATAACCCTCTTCTCATAAATACAAATAAAAGCACATTGCAATGAACATGTGTGCATGTCTTACTTAAAGTACAGATAATTCAAAGTTGAAGAATTGATACAAATTCAGGAATACATAAAGACAAATATCGAAGTTTCTTTTTGTTCTATTTTATACAAATTTTGATTTTGCCCCATTTTAAAATATATAATTTGATAATATGATATTTGTTAGATGTTGCGACCACAGGAAGTAGAAATGTTAGTTTGTGGTAATCCTAACCTAGATATGAAGGAACTGAAGAAGGTAACAGTGTATGATGGATACAGTAGTAATGATCCTGCTATCAAGTAAGTTTTACACAAATTCATAATACTATATTTAAAGATAAGATGTGCTATGATTGCCAATGAGACAACTCTCCACCAGAGACCAAATGACATAGAAGTTAACAACTATAGGTCATCGTACAGGTTCAACAAATGACATGTAAAACAATTCAAACCAGAAAACTAACGGTCTGATTTACAGTACAAAACAATGAACAAAAACAAATATGATATACAGTTACAAATGACAACCACTGAATTACAGGCTCCTAACTTTGGGACAGGCACATACAGAAAGTGGCGGGGTTAAAGTCTGTAATTTGTTAATAGTAGGCCACAGACCACAATTAAATTCCTCTATTAGTTCTTTATAACGTTTTGTTTCATTAAAAAAAATGCACCATGCATTTTTGTCAAATCTTTTGTGTGTGTAATGTATAGTACTAGTCCAAAAATATGTCCAAAATTCAGAAAGATTGAACCAATCACTCTTACAAATTTAGCCAATACACATCCATACCCCTATGGACAAGTCAAGAGATATTCTGAAAACTGTAAATATCACCTTTTTGCACCTGACCTAATCACTCTTTCCAAATATCAAAATCATTTAAAATACAACATTCAAAAGTTTATTTCACCTCTCTTCTTTCATTTCCACCCAAAAAAAACTAAGAAATGAGTAAGGAAGGGAAAGAAAAAAAATTAAGAAATAATACACTCTAATTAAAAGGAACTATATTCGTTGACAACGAAAAGTGGGGTCATTAATTGTGGTCTTGGGCCAGTACCCTCCCCTTAACCTAGGACAGTTGTGTAACAGTACAACATGAGAACACACTATAAAAATCAGTTGAAAAGGGCTTAACTCATCAGATTGATACAAAGCAGAAAAACATCTAACAAAAATACAGATTGGACTTGGCAGGGTATTTACAGATCTGAGAGCACTCACAGTTACTAACAGCTAGTTCAAAGCTAAAAACAACTAATAAAAAAATCATGAATCTAAGACTAAAATATCAATCAAAACACATCCAACATCCAATGGATTTAGTGTGAAGACATCATTAACAGTCAGAGAAAAACAGACCTTGTGTAATGCAAAATACAGGTATCCACAGATTCCACACATTGTAGAGCCATGAATGTGCATATGTATATAAAAATAATATTTAATTTGATTTTTATTTACTGGTAACAAAATCAATATTTATACCAATAAAAACAACATTCAAAGATCTAATTACAGTGTTAAATTGGTAACCTTTTAGGATAAGTTTATTTATAGGATCGATAAGTTTATCCGTAATGATCTAAATTTCCGGGATCTGTAAACAACATCTATTTGTGTTATCATGGTCTTGTAAAATAATTAATTGTGTGACAGAAAACAAGAGGAGTGGGGGTCTTTAGAATAATAGTGTTAGAAATATTGTATTAAAACACTGTATTATTATATTTTAAATTTTTTCACTTTTGTTAGACTCTCTCTCTCTTATATATATATATTCACAAATTTGATGTCTTCAAATTTGCATAAACTGTTGTTTAGAGTCTTGGACAATAAGGCAAAAACATTTTTTTTTCACAAATGCCAATATACTTCGAAAACACAAAACCAAAACAGAGTTCTTATGTTAAGAAGTTTGACTCTTATAATATTCATATATTTACAAGTCCCTCAAATCCGTCTAAATAAATTTCGTGTATAGGTCCAAGTGATGTATAGGTTTCAAGTGATGTATAGGTCCAAGTGATGTATAGGTCCAAGTGATGTATAGGTTTCAAGTGATGTATAGGTCCAAGTGATGTATAGGTTTCAAGTGATGTATAGGTCCAAGTGATTGATTATCACATCTTTTTGCCAGGCTTGATATCTTTGTTTTACAAGTGCATCTAGTTTAATAATTGGGAAAATATAACAATAGGAGGAACATTATTGTCCTTTGTTAGTTTATTTTTTTATCAGACTTACAAAAGAAATTCATTTTTATTTATTATGCCCCTGCCTTAGAGGAGGGGGTATTAAGGTTTATCCTTGTCCGTCTGTACATCTGTCCTTACATCCTGAAATTGGTTTCCGTTCTCTAACTTTAGTTTCCCTTGACCAAATGTTATGAAACTTATACACAAAGCTTATTACCACAAAACACAGATCAATTTCGAATTTGGGTGGCATCACTTTTACCGTTCATGAGTTATGCCCCTTTATAAATGGAAAAATTGCTGAAGTTTGCGTTTCTGTTCTCTAACTTTAGTTTGCCTCAATCAAATGTCAGATTGAATTCCAATTTGGGTAGCGTCACTTTTACAGTTCACTATGTTCCTTTATAAGGTTATATGCAAAGGGGGGGGGGGGGGGGGGGGGGGGGGGGGGGGTCATCTGTGTCCCAAGGACACATTCTCCATTTATTTTTTAAGACATTTATAGTATTTAGTTTCTGATTTAACATACAGAGATGAGTCGTTTCATTTTTTAGGAATTTTTTAGGAAATATTCTTTGGTTCTGATTTGACATACAGAAGTGATCTGTTTTGGTTTTTTTTTAGGAATTTCTGGGACATATTATTCAGTTTTCCATTAGACTTGCAGAAGAAGTTTTTATTGTTTACCACTGGCAGTGATAGAATACCAATTGGCGGTATGAGTGAAATGCAGTTTAAAATATCCAGAGTTAGTGGAAGTGATCTGTAAGTCATAACTGGCTTAATATAAAAATAATGAGATATGGTATGATTGCCTATGAGACAATTATCCACCAGAGTTCAAATGAAGTGAAAGTAAGCCTTTATAGGCAATCACACGGCCTTCAACAATGAGAAAAACCCATACTGTATAGTCAGCTATAAAAGGCTCCATCACAAAAATGTGAAACATTTCAAATGAGAATACTAAGGGCCTAATTTACAACAAAACAATATACAAAAACAAAAAAGACATGAACAAATGACAACCATTGAACTGCTAAGTTTTACTCTGTTTTTAATAACCTTGTATGTCTTTGTCAATTATATTTACTTGTTCAGTACATGTGACACAATAATAATTTAAGTCACTAAATAAATGGACAAGTTTCCTATGAAGAAATACGTATTGTAAGATTAGATACATCATGATATTGTTGAATTATCCTATCCAGCAGGATACTATTTGTTAACTGATTGTAAATATGATTGTATTTACTGATATCAAGGGAAAAAGTTTTATAATCTTTTACATGCAGTTAGATACTGTATTACACCCCTCTTATTGGTAACATTTCTAAAAGGGTCAAGTTTTGCTTATTTCGGAAAATAGGTGAAATTTCAAAAAAATATCCTGTCACTAAAATTTGACCATGAAGGAAGATCAAAGTTAGGGAGCACAAAAACTTGGAAAATTAAACATCAAGAACAGGTTTTGCCCTAGAAATTACAAAATTTAAACTAGTTCACAATGTGTGGTTTAATACTATATGACATTCAAGTTGTTTTTTTTTAATTTCAGATTACCCATGGCACATACTTGTTTTAACCAACTAGTCCTACCAGGCTACAAATCTAAAAAATCACTGAGACAGAAGTTGTTGACTGCTATTGAGAATGCTGAAGGATTTGGACTGGAGTAATCTGGGAAAAGTGAATTGTTTTGGCTGGAGTAATCTGAAGTCATCTTGCTGGTCAAGTTGACATTGTTATGTTTATATTTGATATTTGTTTTGAATGAAGAAGAATCTATGACAGTATTAATTGTAACATTACCTTAGACCAAGAAATAGTCTTGGAAAAGTTCTGGGGGCATAAATTGCTACCCATGTCTGTCATTTCTTCCCTTATTCAGTCTGTCATTCCTTCTTCCTTTACCAATTTATCAGTAGTACAGATTTGTTTTTTTTTTATGCCTGAAGATATTGTGCTGACTTTTGGTTTAAAGGTGTATAGTAATGAATTACAAATTAAGGTCACATTTCATTTGAGGTGAAACATCTTTTTGTGACATTACAACCCTTGGACTTGTTTGCCACAGGAATGGTATTCATTTTATGAAGACACTTCTAGCTTTGGCAACTCATTGCAAAAATTGAACTGTCACAAGAATTAGTAAGTTAAGGTTATTTTATGGGGGAAATGTGGAAATTCATACAAAATGAGATTCCTATGCTGTTCTCTTAAAGTTTAATACTGTATATCGGGAAATTTTGTATAATTTTTGGCCATGTTCGTAGTAGATATTTTGTCACATTTATCCTATGCTGACATTTCACTGCTTATTTAAATGAATTGTAGAAGGCTGTGAAATGGGAGCATTGAACATGGCAAAGATTTAACTGTCTCTTTTAGGGCTCAAACCACTAACAAAACCTTACATGAAAATAACCCGATATACGGTATTAAGAATTATCGATTTTCTGTGGACTTCAACCTGTATTATTTTAAATTGAAAATTGAGGTATGCTGATGCTCTACACAAAATGTATATTTTGGGTCAAATAAGTGAAAGTCCACATGAGAATATCATACATGGTTAGACCGTGTACACTTGTAAGGTAGGAATCATTTATAAAGGACAGGGTGCAATGAGGACCATAATTTGCCCAATTTTTCACTGACAGTTGAACTTTTTAGAAGTTGATATGATGGAAAGTTAAAAACTGGTTACTTAAGATCTGTGACATCACAATAAATGTAGTCATGATGTCGTAGAAAAAGTCACAAGTATTTTATGTTAAAATACATATGTTTTGGTGGACTTTCAAATTGTGTTTGGATGTGTAAGTATGAAAAGCATGTGAGCCACCAACTTAAAAATGTATTGCATGTTAGTCTATATAATTAACACTTCTCTTATTAATTGTTTTTTGTCTTTCCTTGATGAAGTTAAAAAAGAGAGACAAATATATGCTGTGTCTGGAGGCGACAATAATGTATTAGTTTGTGATTAATTCAGTTTACGAGAGAATTATTTTATAGAAATCATTTGGCCATGCCCCCTTAGTCATGTATTGAATTATGCATATTTTACATGTTAAAGAGTGTGATTAGGTCATTTTACGATGAACTTCTAATGGGCAGTCAATGATATTTGGTAGGCAGTTGTATTAGCATTTGCACATCTCATTTCTATTGAGATTATTTGACCCAGCCCCTTACATGGTTCATTGACTTTGAAACTTTTGCATAGTTTACAACTTATGATAAGTCAATGGTATTTAGTATGCAGTTGTATTAGCATTGGCATTACTCATTTCCACAGAGGTTATTAGGCCATGTACTTTCAGTCATGGTTTATTGGCTTTGAATGTTTTGCATAGTTTACATGTTGAAGTATTGCTGTTTTAATTTCAACATATGCATTATACTATCAAAAATAATTAAAGGCTAGACATATAAATAGTTAATTGCATGTGCTCAATATTTTCTACTCACAAATATGTGTCAAAACTATGCAATTTTGCAATATTTTTTAAAGAAAATTTGATAATTAATACTTAAAATCTTGAAGAATTTTGTGAATATTTGAAAGACTTACAGTTCAAACAAGGACATCTTATTAATTTATTTATACTCAAAAATAACAAGTGTTTGTTATTCTTTGATTTTAAGACAAAAAGGGCTAAAATACACCTCTTTAGTTTTTGTTTATCCAATTTAAGGTATTTATGTACAAGGGACCAGTTCAGAAATTCAGTTTTCATCCTCATAAATCACATTGGGCAGTATTGTGTCCGCTTATATGACAATTTTACAAAATGTCCAAACAACAGATATTCTCACAATGCAAAATTATTTCTGAATTGGTTAATACTCTTATTGTTAACTGTTAAAGTATTGTAAAAAGTACACAAAACTCAATTTTTTTTCTTTATATATAATAAAACATGCATGAGGAAAGATGGTATATGCCAGTTTATATAAATAGATCACTGAAAAAACAGTGATTTATTACCAATACAGACTTAAAAATTGATGAAATGTATGACCATTTATCTATGAATGTGATCTTTAAATCATTAACCTTATCACATGTGATCATCTACATCCAGTACAGCTGGTAACGGCTCTTTTGAGGAATATATGATAAAAAAAAAAAATTTTATATGAGATTTTCATCAGAAACCATATTAACTCTGACAACAAAGACAAATTTTTGTAGGAGTTTAATATCAGAATGATTGCAGACATGTTTTAATGATATTTTGTTGAATCATTGTTAAACAGGGTAAATTATTGATATAAATACTGTTAAATAAGTATTGCCATGGTCTATTTTTTTAAAACTATATCACCCCTTGATAAAAAAAGCTATTTTTTTGCATTTATAAATATTTCTACCTTACAATTTGACAGTGTTATTATTAAAGATGTATTTTGGAGGTATGGTTCCACAAAAGTATAAGGCAGTACATGTAAAATTTCTGATAATTACATATGAAAAAAATCATATATTGGAGAGAAAGGAGACATAGAATTTGGAATAAATAAAAGTATGGACCCACACCTGACTCTAATGTGGAACTGTACTTAGAATTGTTTATCCGTCCATATGAATAGTCTGTGATATGTTTCCACATATTTATGTATATGTTGAATTTGTATAACCTAGTGATATCTTATGTTTCTTAATTATTTTTTTCCCCATTCACAGCATTGATCAGATATGTTATAATTTTTAAAAGTATATGATTGTTTTTTTATTACAAAACTTCTAATCAATAAATTATCAAGAGAATATGTTGAATGTAAGCTTTAACTATAATTGATGTGCATATATGGGCATTTTACTTTGGTATAGTAATAATACAGTATTTCTGAAGAGTTCAGAAATAATCTGAAGTTTACCAAAGTCATATTACAGATTTGCATTTACATCTTGGTCTATTTACAGGAATGATATTATGTCTGATTTGAAATAGATGGTCCTAAAACTTGTCTTGTTTTACTTTAACTGAACACCTATAATTCTCTTCATTGTAATCCAATGAACATATAAAGAACAAGGAACTTTATATTAAATGGTCAAATATAGAAAGTATAAGTCAGTTTAAGGCAGTGCAGTGTGTAATGCTAAAATACAAATTTATTACTTTAAATGTTATAAGAATATCTTGAATTTTGTTCTTGATAATCTGAAATGCTGTGGATTTAAATAATTTGTAATGAAAAATATATAACAGCAAGCCATATGATAAACAAACATATCATCATTTGATGTGGTCTTATTGTTGCATTTTGTTCACTGACATAATCTTTGGGGAATATTTTTATGTAACTTTGGATTTTAGAGAAATGCTTTATGTTACATTATCTTTTTTCGCCTTCTTATGATATCTTCTTGAGTCTAGGGCTCCATTACAAAAATGACTTTCATCCTTCACATTCCAAGTTATGCTTGTATGTTGAGAGTCCATTCTTTTTATGATTATTTATTAATGATTATATACTTAATATCTCAACTTTATATGAGGCAGCTTCTAAGTGAATCTACTAAATTCTTTAACTGATCGTGTTTCAAATATATTATATTGTTTTGATGTCGATAGCATTGCACCTCATAGGTTTTTTCAGATAAACAATTTAATATCTAATGCATATTGAATTAAAAAAATCTACATATTCATCAATAATTAATAGCAATATGAATGATATAGTTTGTGTATGGTAATATCTATATGAATGAAATACTTCTGTTGTGATGACAACTTTCAAATCAGTGCCTTTTCCCGTAAATTTTCCTATGTCACTATGTTGTCACGTCACAGAAAGAACGGATTGTTGGATGACATCGTGTATGCAGATTGACCTCTAGTCAACCTGTATAACTCATTCATAAAAAACAACTTGAGATTGGTGTAAAATAGGTATAGATTTTAAAATTTTGAGTAATAGTTTGACACCAAAAAAATAATGTTTGTAATATGTATCCTCCTGACATTTTCCTAAGCAATGTTTAAAAACTTTGCCCATCATCACATGATTTTTCAATAATTAATTTGAAATTAAGACCTGTATTGCACTTTTCAAATTGTTACTATTTCAATCTTATTTTTTGTATAAACATGATAAAAATTGCATTTATTTTCCCATTCATTTTTTATTTAAATCCAGAGATAGATTTATACCTCTAAAATTCCAACTCTTTATGTATTATAATGTCTGAAAAACAAGTAAACAGACCTATTTAGATTTATCTTGATTTTTTCCAACATTTGATTAGGTCTATAATTATTTTGTTTGATCACTGATTCAAATTTATTCATTCATATACCAACTTGGGAAGTCTTCTCCTGTACAAAATATGATAGCAATAGTGCATAAAGTTTTTCTGTATAATATTTTGAAAAAGACCTCATTGATGACAATGTTGTTATTGAGACTTTCAGCAGCAGTAAACATAATGTAGTACTTACATTGTCTATTGAAGTACATAGAGTCTAACCAATGAGTTGAATTAAAGGGGATATAAGTATATGTCAATGTGACAGCAACCCAATCCCTCAATAAAAACACAAAACATCTAGAGTTCAACATATAGTCTTCAACAATAATATAACACTTAAAATCTAGAGTCTAAAATTTGTGAAAAAATTCAACAGCTGCCATTAACAATATATTTTCCAAAAAAAAATTGTTTTGCTATAAATTCAGTAAATTTATTTTTTGTTATAACTTTTGATTATTGCTATTGTAAACTATAATTGGTTAGAACAATAGGCTCTTAAGAGTCTGTATTTAATGTCTGATCACTCTCATTTCATCATAACACTGTGTGCTATAGTTGATAGAGCATAAGATATATCTGGTTTTTTTTTAGATATGTGTGTATATGTATTTACTAATTAATTGATCTAGTCAGGACACTTGTATAGTGCCAATATTTCTGTTTACTTTAAAATTTAATCAAAATTTTATGTTAGTGTGTCAAACTACACAATGTATATGTAATTATTCTTAAAACACAAATAGCTATAAGAAATCTATGGTTTTTAGAATATTTTAGTATTTTTAAATGCTAAAGACTTTGAGCACAAATATTCAATATTGTTTCTTATTTGAAATTAACATATTGTCCAGTAAAAGCCAGTAATATTTATATTGCATTCAATTAATTTTGAAACTTAAAATAATTTAATATTTGAAAACTTCCATATGTGAAATTGTTAACTGGCAACATATTGTTGAAACCAGGTTTTCTGCAATTATTTCATTTAACAGAAGATTCAGATGCACAGAATTTAAATGCTCAGTCAAAACTGCATTAGATTGAATGAAATTCAGGTAATGGGAACTAACACATGATAGTACTTAATGCCATACAAATTGTAAATCTTCTGAATATGACATTGAGGAAATGTTTGCATAAATACAAACAAGAAGCCCTCCATCTGGGATATTTGAACTACACAACCAAATATTATTTCTGAGAATGAAGTACAAACTTTAATAGAACAAGAATAAAGTAGTTTTTTAAAGCATTTGATGCTATGTGCAATAACTAGACCAATAGTTCTGTTTTCTTAGAAGATTTTGTTCTGTGATATAATCTTTTTTATTTCTTATTTATCATTGTTTATTTTTGTGCATTGTGATTTTCTTTCTAATAAAATGTTTTATGCAAGTATTTTTATAGTTTTGTATTGTAGAGCGTTTTTATAAAGATAAAATATAAAAACCACCAATTTAGTAATAAAACTTGATTGTTATTATCCTTTTTCTGTATTTAAATGAATAATGCTTGAGGACACAAAAGATATGTGCACATGTAACCCTTGGTTATCCCGAATACATTTTGCGCCTCTAACAGATTACTATACTTAATTAAGAATACTGAAGTTTTCAGACCTCTCGTCCTTGAATGAAGACCTTTTTCTCTGTTGCATAGTTGAAATGGTAATTACTTAAATGTGTAACTGCCTTTAAAAGAACAATACTGTCTCAGCGTATTCCATTTGTGGTCTAACTAATATTTTATAGGCATGCTCTTTGATGGATTTTGAGCTGAGGAGGTTTTGATGTAAGAAACCAAGGCTTCTGCTGGCTTTTCCTGTGATGTTGTTTATGTGTTCTCCCCAATCTAGATCATTTGCGATGATGCAGCCCAGGTATTTAGTCGTTGTTTCATGCTCAAGAGTATGGTGGTAGAGTTTGTAGTCCCACTTGATTGGATTTTTCTTTTTTGTGACTGAATTTTTTCCCATTTTGCCAGTTTGTCCGGTCTTCTTGGAGTTTATGGCAGTCATTGTCTGAGGAAATGGTCAAATAGACAACAGTATCGTCCGCAAACAGTCTCACTGTCGAGTGTAGGCCTTCTGGTAGGTCGTTAATGTAAAAAAGAAAGAGACTGGGTCCTAAGACTGACCCTTGTGGTACCCCTAAATTCCTTTATCAATTTGTTTGTTTTACTTCGGATGCCATAAAGGTTTAGTTTATGGAGGAGTAAGCTGTGGGACACCTTATCAAAAGCTTTTGAAAAGTCTAGTATTAGCAGATCTGATTGTTTTCCGTTTTCCAGATTTTTTTGTGTTATCGTCGATACATTCAAGGAGTAGTGTTTCGCATGATCTTTTACTCCTGCAGTCATGTTGTAGTGGGTATAGGATGTTATTTACCTCTGCATGTTTCATGATGTTACTGGTGACTATATGTTCTATTATTTTGCAAAAGATGCATGTTTGGTTTGATGTTGTCTGGTCCAGCAGCCTTGTGTATGTTTAGATATTTTAGCTTCTTTTCCACTCCATTATTAGTGATGATTATTGTTTGCTGCTTGGATAGTTTTCTGGTTGATCTGTCATATGAGTTTTTGCCTTTCAAAATCTCTTTTACTAATAGGACATGCAAGAAGACCGATTGGAATTGATCATTTAGTATATTTGCTTTGTTTATTTATTAATTAATTTGTTAATTTCGGTTTCTAATTTCCCATTTCTTCTAAGTGGTGCTTCTCCATTTTTATCACTTTTCTTGTGTTTGATATACATCCAGGATCATTTTGTTGGTGAACGGATGTCTTCATTATCTTCTGGAGTTATTATGTCTTCTATATTTGCAATAGGCTTATCTTGATTTCCTTTAGATGATTTGTTTGAATCTTTTAATATCAGTAGCATGGTTTTATTTCTTTTTCTTTTTGTAGGCTCGGTCTCTTCGCTTCATACGTTTTTTTTTATTTCCTTGGTTATCCATCGGTTTTTGTCCTTAGTCTTGCATATTTTGGAAGGTATATACTGGTTTGTACTGCTTTCTAGGCCTTCCTTGAACATATTCCAGAGTATATTTATGCTTGTCTTTTTGTTCAGGCTTTCTTTTTGAATTTTAATATAAAGCAAATTCATATCTTCTTTTATGCTGTCCCATTTAGCTCTTCTGTATAGATGGATTTCTCTTGGCTTTTGGTTGTTTGTCATTGGATTGGTGTTGATTCTGCATACACAATATCATGGTCTGAAATTCCTGGAATAACATCTAGTCTCATCATTTTACTAGGACAGTTGGTGATAAGAAGGTCCAATGAGTTTTTATTTCTAGTTGGCTCTTGTACTAATTGAGTTAATCCATTGTCATCAAGAATATCTGTAAGCTGGTAGTGTTGTTCTGAATGTTGAGTTCCTTGACGTACTGTTTTGTTTGTCCAATTCCATCCAGGTAGCAAGATGCATAACAACTCGACCATCTGGATCGGAGGTGATCTCAACCTACCTGATATCAACTGGTCGTCAAACACCATCACAGGTAACCAGTACCGCTAAGACATCAATGACACCTTCTTGTCTTTAGAAAACGATCTTGGGCTTATACAATCGGTCCAATTTCCAACAAGAGGTCCAAACATTCTGGACTTATTCCTCACCAACAGACCATCCCTCATAAATAGATGTGAGCCAGTACCTGGAATAAGCGACCATGAAATCGTTTTCATAGACTCCAGCATAGCCGTCATGAGACAAAAACCAATCAAAAGAATAATCCAAATGTGGAAGAAAGCAGATATAACCTCCCTCAAAGACGATGCAAAGTTGTTGGCTTCAGAATTTACCAACAATTTCAACGTACAGTCCGACATTAACACCTTGTGGAATAACTTTAAAGATAACTGCCTCACTATAATAGATAAAAATGTACCATCTAAATCTACACCTACAAGGATATCACAACCATGGATAACCAAGGATCTCCGCTCGATGTCTCGACGAAAACAAAAGCTCCACAATAGGGCCAAGAAGTCGGGTAAAACAAAGGATTGGAAAAAGTACAAGAACATCAAACAAGAGTGCACACGCTGAAATGTCTCGCCTTCTTTACTAATCATTGATATTATGTTGATAGTCCTAAATATAAAGCTTTATTACAACTGTCACATAAACTTAACATTAACCAAGTAAACTAAACATTGACCAATGAACCATGAAAATGAGGTCAAGGTCAGATGAACCATGCTAGGCAGGCATGTACAGCTAACAATTCTTCCATACAACAAATATAGTTGACCTATTGCTTATAGTATTAGAAAAAAAGACCAAAACTCAAAAACTTAACACTGAGCAATGAACCTTGAAAATGAGGTCAAGGTCAAATAAAACCTGCGTGACTGACATATAGATCATAAAATATTTCCATACACCAAATATAGTTGAACTATTGCATATAGTATTAGAAAAAAAGACCAAAACTCAAAAACTTAACTTTGACCACTGAACCATGAAAATGAGGTCAAGGTAAGATGACACCTGCCAGCTAGACATGTACACCTTACAATCATTCCATACACCAAATATAGCTGACCTATTGCATGCAGTATTAGAAAAAAAGACCAAAACTCAAAAACTTAACTTTGACCACTGAACCATGAAAATGAGGTCAAGGTCAGATGACACCTGCCAGCTAGACATGTACACCTTACAATCATTCCATACACCAAATATAGTAGACCTATTGCATACAGTATAAGAAAAACAGATCAAAACACAAAAACTTAACTATAACCACTGAACCATGAAAATGAGGTCAAGGTCAGATGACACCTGCCAGTTGGACATGTACACCTTACAGTCCTTCCATACACCGAATATACTAGACCTATTGCTTATAGTATCTGAGATATGGACTTGACCACCAAAACTTAACCTTGTTCACTGATCCATGAAATGAGGTCGAGGTCAAGTGAAAACTGTCTGACGGGTATGAGGACCTTGCAAGGTACGCACATACCAAATATAGTTATCCTATTACTTATAATTAGAGAGAATTTAACATTACAAAAAATCTGAACTTTTTTTTCAAGTAGTCACTGAACCATGAAAATGAGGTCAAGGACATTGGACATGTGACTGACGGAAACTTCGTAACATGAGGCATCCATATACAGAGTATGAAGCATCCAGGTCTTCCATCTTCTAAAATATAAAGCTTTTAAGAAGTTAGCTAACGCCGCCGCCGCCGCCGCCGCCGCCGGATCGCTATCCCTATGTCGAGCTTTCTGCGACAAAAGTCGCAGGCTCGACAAAAACTACACCAGAGAAAATGTAGAGAGACATATAACCAATACATTAACAACATGATATGCAATGATGATTCCAGCCCAAAATTGTTCTGGAATTATATTAAGAACAAGAAGAATGACCGCTGTGGGGTGGGTCCACTAAAACGGAATGGACTCTGCTTTAGTGACAGTGAAATCAAAGCTAACATCTTGAACTCACAATTTTCTTCGGTCTTCACAACAGAGGACATGTCCAACCTACCAAACTTAGGACAAAGCTCAACCCCAGACATCAAATCCATCTATGTCGATCCTACCGGGGTCGTCAAACTCCTACAAAAACTAAACCCACATAAAGCTACTGGCCCAGACAGTATTTCAGCACGTTTCTTGAAAGAGACCGCAAAAGAAATAGCGCCTGCCCTAACTCTGATATTCCAGGCCTCGATTGACCAGGGCAAAATTCCATCTGACTGGAAAACAGCTACAGTCGCTCCAGTATTCAAAAAAGGAGACAGAAGCCAAGCTTCCAACTATAGGCCTATCTCCTTAACTTCCATCTGTTGCAAAATTAATGAGCACATTATCCATGGTAGCATTCTGACTCACTTAGAGCATTATAACATTCTCGCTGAAGAACAACATGGCTTCCGTAAACGAAGATCCTGTGAGACACAGCTCGCATTAACTATCCACGACCTTGCTAAATACCTCGATTCTGGCGAACAAATAGATGGGATACTTCTTGACTTTTCCAAAGCATTCGACAAGGTTCCTCACCAACGTCTTCTCCTAAAACTCAACCACTATGGTGTCCGAGGAAGTATCCTCAAATGGACTGAAGACTTCCTGTCGGATAGAACCCAGAAAATTGTTCTCAGAGAAGGTAAATCGTCCTCAGTAGACCCTGCCACATCCGGTGTTCCGCAAGGTACTGTCCTAGGGCCTCTTCTTTTTCTCGCCTACATCAATGACATGCCTAGTTGCGAAAAATCACAGACTAGACTCTTCGCAGATGACTGCCTCATGTACCGCAGGATCAGATCTACTGACGACGCATTACTCCTACAAAAAGACCTCGACTGCCTCATCGATTGGGAGCAAAAATGGCAGATGCTGTTTAACCCAGACAAATGCGAGGT